TAATTTTTCTTTCTGCACATCTACAAGGATCCCTGCACACCTGCCATTTGTGAAATTTTGCATTTTCACGTTAGGAGGCTTTACACCCGCCAAGAGACTCTCACTTGCACAATGACAGCAAACAATGTGCTTTGAATTTTCCCTCTGCACGAAGGTCGGTGACCTTTTCCTACTCACTTGCCTGTTTCCCTGCTGTCCTGTAGCTCACAGATAAGTCCTTGGCTGTTTTCTGCTGTCAGTTCTGCTTATGTAAGAAACTTCTTTTGCGTTTGATGCGAATTAAGGCTCCTGAATTCTGTCACATGAAAGCTGCCTCTAAAAATTGGAGAAATTGGCAATGCTCTGCCCTCTTCCTCAGTGCTATTAAAGGCTTTATCGTACACGTGGTCCATGGTTCCCCACTGAAATGCAAAGCTTTCAGCAGCAAGGAGTGGCTGGGTGTCAGAAGCTCTTTAATCAATGCATTTATTTTAACCAGTAAATGTTACTGCCTGGATCATCTAGGGACCGCTGATGGTTTCAACTGATCTCTGTAGGGTTTCATTTAAAAGCAGCTAAGCCAATTGCTTTGAAAAAGTATTTGAAATGAGATGTCTGCAGAGGACTTTCTAGCAGCACAGAGGCAAAAGCCGGGTGATGGGCTTTCTGGTGTAGCCAGGGACAGCGAGGTGATGGGCTGCAGCTGCAGGGAGGTGCGGGTAAGTGTCTTGGCCGCGTTGGGCAGGGACAGGCAGCATCGGAAGGGAACGACATTGCCAAATACTTCTCACACCTAGTCTGGTGTAACCCCGGCTCCTTGGCAGAGAGCTGCAGAAACAGAGCAGGAATCTGAGCACAGCCCTAGCCCAGATGGCCACATCTCTGTCCTACCAGACATCCCTGTTGTCCCTATGATGTGACATTGAGAGAAGTAAAGACCTGCTGCTTCCCACTCAGGGTAGAGTCCACTCTTCACCTCGCCACTGGACGCTGGGGCATCGCTCCTGCAACGCAAAATGTCCCAGCTGGTACCACATTGCTGTTCAAGGCTGATTTCTCCTGACCACATGGTCCGGGCTGCTGGATCTTTTGCTTCTGCCATCCTTGGTTGCTGTCCACAAGGGCTGAAGGCAAAATGGCCTTCCAAGAGTTTGCAGCACCAGGATCCCGTTTGGGAGGAAGGATGAGAGGTGCTGCTGAATAGAAAAAGATGATGAACAACAACAACAACCCAGGAACTTGTGGCATCCCTGGTACAGGGAGGACTGGCCTAGCAGCCTGAGCAGGTGCTGACTTTGCGGCCGCGCTGAGGATCGTCTCCCTGGTGCTCTGACAGCACTCAGGTGGGAACCAGCCTCGTCCCTCTCGTTTCTGCAGCACGGTCCAGTGAGCGCAGCTGGTATGGGAAGCGTGTACACCGAGACAGAGACATCTCTATCTTGTGGCGCAGAAAACTGCCTGGACAGCTTTCGCATGAAAGGAGATTTCCATTTACTGTTTTTTTGCTCAGCCTTATTAATCACAGGGAAATTTCTAAACAAAATATGGATCTGCAGCAGAATGTAGGCAAAAAGGTAATTGAGACAGAAGAAAGTGCAGCTCAGCTGTGCTCATCAAACTTATTTTTCCATGTGCAAGTCCAGCTTCTTCTGTTTCATTTGTTATAATAATGTTTGCCTTCCCACATACTTGTCCTACTTTTATCTCTGTTTATAATCTCTTGTCTTTCTTGCTTAAGAAAAATACCAAACGAGATACTTCTCTGGGTTCCTCTTTATTCCTTTCCGTTTTGGTTTCACAGTGGGCTCTCTCAGGATGTGTTCCGGAGGGTTAGTTGTTTATGAAACGTTGACAAACGTCAGGTAAACTCGGTGCACCACGCCGTCATCCTAAGGCTCCTGTCCTACCTTGCTAACATATACTTCTTGCATGGGCAACAGCAACTTTCACAGCACAGGTGTAAGTGAAGCACCACACTATTAGCAAGGATTGTGTTACAATTAAAACGTGTTGGAAGAAGGAGCAGGAAGGTTGGCAAGATATATGGGTGGAGGAGAGGAGTGTCTCTGTCTTTCTTTTTCTTTATTAAGTGACCTGATCTATGGGAGATATCATTTCGTGGGCAGACTACAGCAGAAAATGGCAAGGGGCATGGAAAATGCCTCCATCCTGTGGCTACAGCACCTTCTATGCCAGCAAAACTCCCCTCTTTGACCAGACCTCTCCGCGTATCCAGAGACTCCATTAACTTGGGAAGGGCCATGGTTCTTTGTGCTGTTGTTTTGCTGGGAAGAAAACAACTTCTGCTGTGGGAGGGTATAAAAATGCAGTCTGATGCCCCGGCCTCTCAGCTCCTGGCACGTATAGCAAATGCAGGTAGCACTGCCTCTGCTCTGGGGAGCAGGCAAGGATGAAAGCAGAGGCAAGCGAGACGGGGTCTTGCAGACCACAGCTTGGCCAGCTGCAGAAGGCAGTGCAGAACGTGGCACGAGTGTAGTTGTCACAGACGCCACGATACCTTTGCCTCCTAGTAATTGTGGTGTCATTAGGTGCTGCTCATAATGGGAAATCATGATTTTACTGTGGTTCTGGTATGTTGTCCATAATTAGCGTGCAGTCCTTTAATGCTAATTACCTTAAGTATTAATTCCTTAAACATCAATTAAAAAAATCACGTGAAAATTTACCTCTTCCTCAAACGAATCATGAGTTAACATGGGGATACTTACAATGTACTACTTAGACTTGCTTAATTAGTTAATCTCTGTAAAGGGGTTTCAAATGTGTGAAGAGCTATCAAACTGCTAAGTGCATTATCTTCAATTAATTTTGTGCAACTACATCTTCACTACCAAGAGGGTCTTTACAGTGCTGAGGAAAGGAAAAGGAGACATTGCTTCTAATTTTAAAAGTAACTAATAAAAAAAAAGAATTAATTGAAAGAGGATTTGACATGGTGGGAATAATTGCGAACATACCATTTCTTCTGTTTCAGCCAGACCTGAATATGAAAGATTCATCATTCATATCCCTCCTGCCTTTGCTGGTCTCTAGTTTCTTTGCTTCCATCTTCCCCTAGTCTTAGTCCTCTGTCTCACTGAACATTAACCCTCTCTCTTCCAAATTTGATATTACCTTAGCAAAAAAAAAAAAGTTAAAAAAGAGTGAATCACAACAAAACACACTCTTCAAACTGTGGAGTCACTGAGGTTGCACCCTCACACCTACCCAATAATAAGGTAGCTTGTTCTGAAAGAAGCTTCGTGGACTTCACTTCAAAAGGAGATACTAAGGGCCCAGAACAGAGCTCCTGCAAGAGAACGGGGCCAAGTCCAGCCCAGAAAGTCATATGGTGTCTCTCCATTTCCTGAACCACTCTGGTACCCAACGGAGGTGAGCTCTTAACGTGTCTCTCAAAGTTTTCTGTTCTATTTAGAGCTTACATGCCTTGTTAATTATTCTCATTTTACTTCACCCATTAATAATCTGCTTTTGGTGGAGTTCTCTCAAAAAATTGACAATGGGTTCTTTCTACTAATACACTGTCTAGCTGTCAGCTTTATTTAGGCCAGCTACATTGAACCAGACTTTACCAAGAACCTGTTTCCTGGATTCTTTTTCTCTCACTGAGACTAACAAAAGATAAGAACATTTTTCTTGCTGGGTCTGATTTGTTTTTAGTTTTTTTCACTTGTCCTTTCTTTCTTTCGCAAGAATGACAAATCATCACTTCCTTGCTGACTGCCGAGGTCCCACATATGTTGTGAAAAATTCAGGCAGCTTGTTTAATCTCAACTTGCCTGAGCAGTGGTTATGCAGCAGTGTCTCCTTCACAGGGTTTGGATCATTTTTAATGTGCATTTGCAGTATATTTGTATGACATCTAGGCATTCACTCAGCAATGATTTGAAAACCTATTCATTTACCTTATTTCATCCAAAAGACGCTGGAACAGAGAACAGACTATTTGATGGCCACAACTTTATTCTCTGCATACTTTAAAGTAACAGCTTAACCTGATGGATGAGGCATTCCACTAGCAAGTCAGAGTTGTGTACACAGCGATCCTGAACACCCCACATCCTCAGGGAAAGAAATCTGCCACCAAACCAGAAAAACTTCTTCTCTCCAACCCCTCCCCAATTCAGTTTCACAAAAGGAACCAGTGAGGGATACTCATTGTTATCTGATTCAGTGGATACTAATTCAGCTGCAGGGCCTGACCTGCTCTAACCAGGATGTCTAACTGATGTGCAGGTACCTCAGAGCAGCTTGAAAATGGGACAAGTTGTTGTTATGGGGTGCAGAAAGAAGAGCAGGACTATCGGAAGAAGCAAAGAAAGTAGCTTCTCACCCTCCCATACCTTTACCACTGGCTTGTTTGTACAAAAGCTTACAGGATCCTTTCCCTTCATCTGGTATATCCATACGGTCCATACTCACAGAAAGCACTAGAGGGGTAAGCCAGAAACTACTTAGAAAAGTCAAAGTTGCCTTGCACTCCAACCTAAGACCTCTTCACTTTCCTTCCCTACCTGAAGGATTAATGTGATTACCGACGATCATTTAATTCACCTGGGTGTTCCCTCCTGCCTCTGAAAGAAAGGTGAAATGGAGCCTGGAGAGACTATGAGTGCTACCAGATCCAAAAGGAAGGGGTAGGGCTACCTGAATACTGAAGCCTGACTTGCCTCAGGTGCATTGCCACAGAACAAACCTAATTGCAGGAAGTTATCAATACTTAGCCAAAGAAGTGACAAGGCAGGGAGGATCCAGCAAAGTCTCAATGAACAGTCCAGGATTTTGTGCTCCCTCCCCTTCACAGATGTGAAAAATAGGGAAAAAAATTCCTATCCTCTTCAAAGGGTTCTCTTCCATACCAACATTTCAAAAGATCAATTGCCAATAAATTAAGATAAAACCACTGTATGTCCTGGGGGCAAGGGAAGACACACTCCCTCTCTGTCCCGGTCATGTCAGAAGAGCAGCTCCAAGATGGCCCTCTGGGGCATACTACGCCCTCACAGGGGCACCGGTGTGACGTAGTTGGCAGGGAATAGACCCAATTCCCCACGCAGACGTCCTTTCCACCATGACGGGTTGGAGCTGTCCAGGACTTCTAAGATGTCTCCACTGCGAAAGCCCAGCTCGTCATGCTCCACAGCCTCAAAGTCGTACAAGGCACGGACCCATAGTGTTCGCTGGAAAGGAGATAGAGACAGGCAGGGAACAATGAGCCAGAACTCTTAAAGATCAACCTTCTGTCACCCCTCTTATGCCCCGGTACATACGTTCACTAATAAAGGACAAGCAATGCTGAAACTGAGACCATCTTGCAATTAAACCAGGAAGTGGCCAAGATGCTAGGAAGAAGGGACCAATTTACCGGGACACTCAAGGGACGGTGCTTGGGTTCTCAGCAGCCTCAGTATATTCATGGGTATTCGCACCATAAGGTGAAAAGTCAGACTGAGAGTCGGTCCTAGTGTTCACATGGCTCTGTCACCTCCGCTCTGTAAGATCAGCCGTGGTAACCATGTTTGAAGCCCGTTTTGGGAGCACAGCGAAGGGCTCCTGCCTCAGTCCTGCTGGGCTGTACGTGGTAAGTGAACGGCTCTGAGGAGGTGAACGGGTGCTGGTAGGGATATAGAAACGTCTCCTTGACCAGCAGAGGACTATGAGGGACACATCAAGAGAGCCAGCACACAGGCGAGTCTAGTGAACACTGTAAAGAAGGATACTTGCTCTTTCAGGCACTTCTGGGGCATAGGGGAGGGTCTTAAACCTTCTTCGGGCTCTCCCCAAGGTCAGTCCCCTGAGATTAAAAGGCTTTAGGAACTGTTTAGGTGTAGCAGTTTCTTTTGGGTTTGTACTTTAATAAGCACTACGGTCAGATTTTTTTTCTTATGAGAACTTCATCGTAAGAGACTTGGCAGCCAATCTCCCATTTTGATCAGAAATCAGATTTTAAAGGACAGAGCATGGGCTTCTTTTCCAGGAAATTGTTGGCACTCACATCAAGGGGTACGGACAATTTGGGAGGTATATTTTTGCGGGCACAGATGGAGAGATCTGTTGAAGGCAGACTAACTTTTGCTAAAACTTCCATTCAAAGCCCTGCTTAGATATGGCTTCTAGTTCCATTCAAAGCCCTGCTTAGATATGGCTTCTAGTTATTTGGCTGGAATTACAGACCTTCCTTTCCTATAACTGGATTTGTGGCTTCTAGATCACTGATGGGGTGTGGCAGGCAAGGGCATGTCCTTATTCATTGCCACAGCCTCTGAGGGATAAAAGCCATTGTATTTTGAGCTGGATTTGGGGCTTTTGCCAAAAGAAGACATGTGCCTGTTTCCCAGTTTGTTCCAAATTTCCTAATCCAATCTATCTTCTTTCTCTCACACTTGAGAAAGGTTTGCTGTCTTTCCCTTCTGTCCTTGGATCTAGGTTCTCTGGTTGTTCTGGGCTAAGCTGCACATTTCCTCAAGGAAGAGGAGCGTGTATTAGGTCACAATCCTAGGAGCTGATGGAGAAATACTTTGGAGTTGGCAGTGGAATCACAGGCTGAGGCAGAGAAAGACACCATGCTCTATGCAGGTGTTCACATGAGTTGGGCAGATGGGGCCTTCCAGGTACATCACCTACCGGTGGTGTCTGCTGGTGCAGTGGGTCTGTGTGTCTCCATTGCACAGCTGCTGCACTTGCTTGGCTGTGATCCCTTAGTCCATGCAGCCCATCTTTCCGGTCCAGACTCCCACCATATCTATCCTAGAAAGAAAACAGTGAGAGAAAAGTCATGGATATGCTGAGATGTATAAATGAGGGGCTTTACGAGTCATTGGAGGCCAGGGAGTCAGGGTCCAGCCCTCAAGTAAATCATCTTAGATATCTGCTTCCAGTACAGTCCCTGTGCTGCAGTCCTGCAAGCAATGTCTCTCATGGAAGAGGTCACCTTAGACTGTTCTATTTTGGATTTTTCTTCTTAGAAGTTGAAAGATGACTGTCCTCAGCTGTGTTCCACAGCTGCTGGGAAAAGTGGTCTTTGGCCTCTGGGACTTTTGCAGGCTATTCTAACCCTCAGGTGAAAAAGCCATGCTTCCCAAGGGGACTTTTGCCAATCTGGAGTTATTATGCCCCAGTTCTGCCCACACCTTGCTCTTCCTCTGTCCCATATGCTGGCGGAATTGCAGTGATGCTGACGCAGCTGATGACTGTATATCTGAGGATTCACTACTTTACTTTTTCTCGGGCTGCTCCATGCTGTAAAGGGCAGGGAGCAAGCCCAAGAATCCAGTAGCCCAATTAACCAAAGAAGAAAGAGAGAAAATGAGATTCAAAGAAAAGAAGCCATATGACCCCACATCTGAAGTCATATCAACACAAACCAGCCCAGACAGATGGAGAGAAGAAGTAAGCAACATCTAGGGAGCAAGTTCTCTTTTGTCTGCACAGCTGAGAGGTGCCAAGTGTCTTCGTCCCTCCAGGCCCTTAGTGCATGCACTAAGCTTTTTTTAATGATAACGGTGTGACAAAATCCATTATCATGTTAGCTCAGGTTGCAGCAGTGCTTCAGTGACACAGGGTCTGATCAGCTGTGTCAACAGAGGGGAGGAAGAACAGCAGCTTGTGCTTTCTGTTGCTTGTAAACAGCTTTCGCCCTCTCCCTCTTGCTCCTTTCTTTCTTGCACCCTCTCTTCCAAAAACTCCCTTGGTCTCACTCGAGCCTTTGTCAGCCTGAAAGGTTGCTGAGGCTGCCTGAGACTGGAGCACAATTTGCACCTCGCCTGTCCTTGCCAGAAAGTGAGTGAACTCAATCTGGCTTTGCAGCTGCAAGACTTACTACATGGATGCTTCACCCCGTGAGCATTTCTGCTCCGTATGAAATGTGACTCATGCATAGACGGCGCTCCAAAGAGTGCAGACCCTCAGCTTTGTTGGAAGCTGTATTATTCCATCAGCAGTCCCCTGACAGGCAGCACTGCTTGTCTGATGACAGAACAGCCATTTCACGATTGTCCTGGGCCTTGCTATGTGGGAGCTCTCATGCCTTAAGGGATGTGGGTTTGGATTTCTTCCCTTCTGTAGGACAAGTCCTCTCCTTAGATGATGCTACACTGTCTCTGGCTAGAGACATGGGCAACCCCAGGAAAACTATTTCCCCCAGAATTAATCAGGAAGAACTTTGAAGACAGCACTAGGTACTGCTGTTGTCCTCTCCATTCCTATGTAAGCAAAGGAGTAAAGAAACCTCACGCATCAGGGATGCAACACGATGAAAGAGTACAGAGAGGGTCCAGAATAGGGAGGAGGAGGAAGAGGAATGGTCTGAAGGAAACCAAACTCTCCTAGGGTTACCATGGTCATTTCTCATCCTTGTGGTGTGTTTTGTGGTGCTGAATGTCAGTAGCATAACTCAGAAACAAAGAAACAGGCAGCAAGGTTTCATTTGTCATACAGACTAGAGACGAGTTCCCGAAACCATATATGCGTGTGTGTGCGAGATTTGGGAGTGGTGTTCTGGATGATACTTTATGTCCTTTCCTAAGCAAAGCAAGAATACGACACCATTTCTTGTTTTCCAGTTTTTGGGATGCAGCTCCAAAAACTCCCTAGGAGTGCTTCCAGGTTCCCAGTCAAAGGGCCACCGTACACTGACTTCTATTTTTTGCTGGTTTGTCAATCAGTCATGGATCACTGAACTAAATAAAAGCCCACATGTTTATTACACATCAAAAGAGCTCCCCAGGCCAACACCATCATCACTGCTACTTGCATACAAAGACCTAACTGACTCTGCTTCCTAAAGCAGGTTGAGGGTGGCAGATTTTTGACAAAGTGACTGTCCACTCGCTACCAAGCAGTGAAGGCCAATGTTTCATGTGCCTGGGCTTTAGGTCCCAGCCCCTCATTCCTGGTAGTACCTGTTGCTGCTGCAGTACAGGGATAGGATGCTCTACGTATCTCTTGGATATAGAAGAATGATCTTCTCCAGCTGCTCCACCCAGGTGGAATCCTTCCCAGACCATCCGTTCCAGGCTCCCACCACGCCTCTCCTGATCAGAGAAAGATCACAAAAATGAGGTCAGGTTTTGTTTTCCCACCGCAGCCTTGACTGAAGCTTAGCAACCGTTGCACACTGATCACCTCTACTACCCTCTACTGTGGAGGCTTTTCTAAAGGAAGGATTCTGCCCCTCTGAACAGAAGGACAAATCAGGAATCCTGTATTTTAGATCTTTGTCATAGCCATTTCCCATC